CCTGGGACCTTTAGCAGGTTGTGAGACTCTTAGCCAATCACTTGTGGGGCCCTGCTTGGGCCTTATCTACAAAATGGGCTGTTGAGAGCCTAGTGTCTGCAGAGTCTTATGGTTGCAATGATAGATGCCAAGAAACTCCCCCAGAACCCAGAAGCAGGGGAGGGTGGCCCAGGCCTTGTCTCTGCATGGGCGGGAACAGGAGTGGCTGCAGCCCTGTTCAGAGCCGGTGTCAGCCGGGCCGAGAGACGCCCGCAGAGGTGACTGTATACTCACCTTCAGGAACGTGTAGAACTTCTGCTCTTTCTCCCCGTTCACATCCCCTTTCTCAAAGAGTTGGAAATTGGGGACGAAGCCCCCACCTGGTCGGACATGCCTACAAAGAATATTCTTATGTGGGTCCCAAGGAGATGGGCACAGGCCCAGAAATGACAAGGAAGGGACTGAACAGGGAGGGGGTGTTGGGAATCTGGATTTTATTCCACACCAGGCAGCTGGAGCTGATATTGAATGGGCATAGGCATAGTGTGGGTCTGCAAGCTTCTTTTTCCAGTTTGGTACCTTCTCAGTAACCCTGTCCCCTGCCTACACTCTTCCCCCACCCACCCCTGCCATCCCATCGTGCACTCACATGCAGTCATCCCTGTCCCTGACCCCTCTTTCGTTCATTTCAATGAATGGGGTTCCTGGAAGGGGAGCATCGTTCTTGGTGGCTGAGTATCTGTCACGAGTAGGGGCCAATGCAAGAGATGCCCGGTGCTTAGGCGGAGGCACAGGGCGGGGCTGTGCTTTCTCAGAGGAGCTTTCTCGGGACACGAAGCAAGCACTCACTTGAGGCTGGGTAGGATTTCCGAGTTTTCTCCTGGTTCCTGTTTTCCAAATTGGTTGCAGGGGAAGCCCAGAATGACCAGACCAAATGGTGCAAGCTCTTCCTGTAGTGCATTCAGTTCTGGGCCAGGGAAAAAGAGGGCAGAGGTGAAGGTACTCTATCAAAGAGCCCCGCGTCATCCGTACCACTCCTCCTGCTCTCCCATTGGATAGCTGAAATCATTGAGGCCTGACAGGCGCAGGCCTTGCCCAAGATCGCCCAGGGAGTGTGGCACCACTGGGATGCGAGTCCCATCCTCCTGACTCCAGTCTGGTTGGGTTGGAGGTCTGGGGAGAAGCGAGAGCAATACTCTTCCTCAAATCAGTAGTCAGTCACCTGCCCACTGCCACTGGGCCAGTAAGCCGAGGGCTCCTGCCAGACTGTCGGGATTGAGTTGCCTAGACCAAGAGCCATACATCCCTGGGCAGAAGACAGGACTTCCTGGGGAGGGGGTGGGAGGTGGGTGGGGCCATCACCACCCTCCCATACTTCCCCAGCTTGAGAATCAAAGGGAGGCCCTGGGGTGCCTGGGTGGCGCAGTCGGTTAAGCGTCCAACTTCAGCCAGGTCACGATCTCGCGGTCCATGAGTTCGAGCCCCGCGTCAGGCTCTGGGCTGATGGCTCTGTTTCCGATTCTGTGTCTCCCTCTCTCTCTGCCCCTCCCCTGTTCATGTTCTGTCTCTCTCTGTCCCAAAAATAAATAAAAACGTTGAAAAAAAAATTTAAAAAAAAAAACAAAAAAACAAAGGGAGGCCCTGGCCCAGCACCCTAGTCCCCTCGGTGCACCTGGTGCACCTGGCCTCTCGTGCAGTTGCCAGCACCCAGCCCATCTCTTGCACAAACACTCTGCTCTCTTCCAAGAGCTACACAGAAGCATTCTAGCCAGAGCACCCAGTGCCCACTGGGCCATCCAGCCTGCATCATTCCACGTCCAGGAGTTTGCCTGAGACTGGCAGGCAGACATTCAGGGTCAGGTTGCCCTTGCTTCCCCCAGCCCCATCAGCAGACTGTGCTCAGCCCCAGAGCATTTTCCTGTGGGCAACGTCAGATGCCTTTGGCCTGCCTGTTCCCCCAGGTTGTTGACTCTTAGCCCCAGCTGAGAAGAAAGGAGGGAGGATACGAGGATCATGAAATCTCGGTGAAACACCTCATACAGCCACTGACACACAACTGGGGGCCTCAGCCCAACTGTCTGCTTTCCAGATAGGGGCCAAGAGAGGCACCAGGGCAGATGGGAAATTCAGGATAAAGCTACCATTTCTTACTCCAGTGAAAGGACACTCCAGGTACAAAACAAATCTCTTCCATCTCGCTGCTTTCGGGGCAGTTGAGGTACCCAGGGAGGAAGGATAACTGGGAATGTTCTAGAACACGTCTGAAGGTGATCAGACCTTGGGCTTACATAATCTTCACAAAAACACGGAACACAGGGGCGCCTCGGTGGCTCCGTCGGTTAAGTGTCCGACTGCAGCTCAGGTCATGATCTCACGGTTCGTGAGTTTGAGCCCCGCATCAGACTCTGTGCTGACAGCTCAGAGCTTGCGGCCTGCTTTGGGTTCTGTGTTTCCCTTTCTCTCTGCCCCTCCCCCACTCGTGCTCTGTCTCTCTCTGGCTCTCAAAAGTAAATAAAAACATTAAAAAAATTTAAAAAAAAACCATGGAACACAGTAGAACTGGGATACACGGTTTGGCATTTCGTGATCTGTCACCCCTCTCCCCTTGCATCAAAAACGCTCCTGTGATTGAAATGTGCCCAACTGGCAGAAACAGCCCCAGAGCAGGGAGGGAAAGCGGGCTCTTACCAACGTACTGGCCTGTTAGGCCTCAGTAGCTGGCCACGTTGACAAACAGGATGTATTTGCCAGCGTACTGCTTAAAAGGGATGTACTCCTCCCCATCGATGGTCAGGGCTCCGTACTCATAGATAGTGCCGCTCCCGCCAGCGTGGCAGTCCGTCTGAAACACAGGAAGACCGGCACCCGGGAGCAGTTAGAGCTGGAAGGGAACCTGGCATCTCCGTTTTCAAGACAATAAAAGATACCAGTAAGGGGGAGTGACTTTCCCAAGACCACTCCAGAGTGGACCAGAACCGAGCTCTAATCCCTTATGCAAAGGGATGATTACGAAAGCGCTTAATCGTCTGGTGAGCGTATGGAAACCCGGAGAATGATTTACGGTGACCATTACTTCCACTTCACATGCCAATTTGTGAACATTTGCCAGGCTTGGAGGGAGACCATGCTGGTGCTGGAGGTTGCATTTCTGGGTGCTGATGGAGACTCCTGGCATGGCCAGTGCAACCAGCCAGGCAAGTGATGATGTGGGCCTGAATGACAGCATTGTGGAAGAGGGACTGGACAGAAAGGAGGAAGTGGCAGTGTAGAAAGGGGTGATTCGGAGGTTCCAAATCCAGAGGGCTGGAAAGCCGAGGCTGTTGCTATAAAACAGGGAAGCAGGAGGAACCAGGAAGGGGAAAGGCCTGCTGAGAGGATTTGGCACCATGGCAAGGGGAAAGCCTGGCACGTATGAGATGTTCCCTGCGAGTGTGCAGCTGAGACGACTGTTATGCCTCCCTCTTTGCTGCCCTACCCCCAGTCAACCTCCAGAACAAGTAGCCAACAATGGACTCTGAGGTGGGGGACCTGGGGTCCTCGTCCAGCTCTGCCACCAACACTTTGTGTGGTCTGGTGCTAACCCTTTCTCTGGGCTGGGTCTCAGTTTCCTCTTTCATAAGATGAGAACCTCGAACTGGACCAGCTTTGCTCAACCCTGCTGACTTGTCAGCGTCACTATCAGGAGAGGAGGAGTGGGATCCCTGCCAACCAGCACGACATTGCATCAGACCCTTCTCTGTGCCTGCCCTGGCTCTGGTACAGACTACGAAAATCTGGGTCTGCTCTCGAAAGGGTGACTCGGCATCAATAACACAATCAGCAGAGGCGCTGGTCGTGATGGGAAAGGAAAATGTTGCCACCACTGTAGCAGGAAATCTCTGGCCCTAATGTCGTAGGAGAGGGGTCGCAAGACAATAAAACAAATCAAATGCAAACCACCATTATAGACCAGGAGAGACAGAGACAGGTGATTGGAGTTACAGAAGCAAATCCACACCCTCTCCTCCCCATCAACCAAGAAGACTTCCTGTAGGCGAGGTACCTGGGCCCATTTGGGCAAAGGGAGTCATCTGGCTTAGCAGGGTGTGGCCCCAGGACAGTACAGAAAAGCCACCCTCTGTCTGGAAGATGCCGCAGGCCTGCTGAGCCAGATGAGGCAGGGCTCCCTCCAACAAGCCAATCCCTGAGAGCTGCAAACTCTCTTCTTGGCTTCGATGCAAATTCCCTGCTTTCCATGAGGCTGATATTCCATGCCCTGTGATTTCTGGTGGGTGCTGGAAGCAGGCCTGAGAACTAAGCTCAACATTCCTCTAGCCCTTGGGCCTCCTTGGCCCCAGTTGGGTCGGTTCCACCACAAAATACAGACAAACAGGACACAACAAACATAGCCCAGCTGACCACAGAGGTCTAGCAGCCAGAAGGAAAGTCCTCCCTACACGTCTCTCCAGCCTCTCCAGCTCTTCCAAAACTCCACCCTAATCCAAAAACAAATTCTGGGAAATGGAGAGAACAAAAGCCAAGAGGTTGTCTAAATAATGGAAGCTTGTAAACAACGGGAGGATCAGCTTCTGGGCACAGCTTCGGGCTGGGGGTGGGGCAAGGGGAACCTCTTCTCGCTAGGTTTTAGACGTGGCTGGCTCTGGGGCCCTGGGGCAAGTGAGCCAATTTTACTCTCCAAGCCTCAGTCAGCTGACAGGGGAGGATATTACCACCCACCTCCCAAAATGGCTGTAAGAATCTATAGACAGATCAAAGAAGTCTGGAAGACCTCTTGGAGAGAAATCCCCACGTCGAGGGATGGATACTGGTTATTCTGCCTGAGGCTAGGGTAAAGGGCCCTGATGTCCCTACATTATTGTGAAGAGGTCTTTGATGTTCCCCAGCCAGTGTAAAGAAGATGATGCACTGTGCAAGGTGTCTCCAGGAGAAGGGATGATGACAAAGCCTCCGAGCTTTCTAGTGGGGACAGTGAGGCCGGGGTTGTGGATTCAGACTGATGGGGGTCAGAGGGTGGCCTATGGTGGCGGAAGCCATGGCCTGTACTCACCACTGAGCACTGCTACCCAGTCCTTACGCGAGCTGTGAGCCTCCTTCCCTCCTCTGGGCCCAGGAATGTCAGAGCCCTGCACCTTAAACAGGGAGGCCAAAGGAGATGGTGGGGAGAGGCAGCTCAAGTGCCTCAGGCCTGCCACGGTTGGATGAGACAGGAGAGTGCTGGTGACTTGGGAGCTGGAGGGGGTCTCAGCCAGGACCCCGGCTGGCTTGGGCTGCTGGTCTTGGATCTTTCTCCTCTTCCATCTACCACTCCCATCGATGTGATGGTATGAAAGGAGACCTGGCCTAGGGGCAGGAGACCTGAGTTCTGGGCCTGGCCAGGACTCCTGTAACCACTCCTTTCCCTTCTGTGGGGCTCTGGCTCCTCGCCTGTCAGATAGGCTCAGATTCAGTGCTGTCTTAAGGGCTCTTCAGTTCTGTCAGCCTGTGGTTCCATGATTCTCTCTGCCTGCTTTAGTCACCTAGAAACCAGCGGTTACTAGGATCCTATGCACGTCAGCAGCTGTTACCCTTCTTCAGCTTCTGCAAAGTCCTTCTGCACAGCAAGTACAGAGAGCCTGGGTGGCTTGAAGCTGGACTGGAGGGGGGACACAGCAAGGAAAGGAGGATTCCTTTTGTTATCCAAGCTCCTCCCTTTGAACTGGGAGGAGGCAGCCAACCCTCTGAGACTGTCACCTACTGTCTATCCCATTCCTCACAGGCCCCCCATCCTATCCCTTGGCCCTGGAGTTGGGGGGTAAGGTAGGTGGTTGAGTCTTAGAATCCAGCGCTATGACATTTCGACTCTCTAAGGGCCTGGGTGGAGAGATGCACATACCCAGCCTGTTAGCCAACAGGTCCTAGCTGGTTTGTATCTGATAGGATCATACCTCACCCTAAGACTTCTCTAGACCATACCCATCCTGTTCTCTCTGAATCCATCAATTCCTCCCCAGACAACACATGGCTATGATGAGTTATTCATGGGTCCACATTCTTACCCCCAGCCTTCTTGAGTCAGGGCCCAATCTTCTCTTCTCTGGCTCTCCGCAAACAGGGTAAAGGACTGACTCCATGGCACTGGGCTGCCTACCCCTACCTCTACCCCACACCACCATCTTGAAACTCAGTCCCATCTCTGCCCTAGAAAATGAGTTGGGGATAATGAACAGGGCTGGATACAAAGGAGGAGGCATGGAAGAGGTGGCTTCATGGCCATCCAATTTCTATGCTTACTCCAAAGAGAAACAGACTGAATAGGATTTAGCTGAGGACAGGACAGGGGGATAGAAACATACAGAAGGAACCCTGTGCTTGGAAAGGGCTAACTGAATAGTGAATAGAACTTTGGAAATAGAATTATGAACTCCTCAGATATTAAAATAAAAACCCAGAAGATTTTAGAAACACAGAAGCTCAAAGCTTCTCTTGAGCTTACACAAGCATGTGGGGTGTGTGTGTGTGTGTGTGTGTGTGTGTGTGTGTGATGTGTGTTGGGAGGGTGGAGACAGAAAGCTCTCTGTTTGGGTCTATCCCTTTGCCTGGTTTCAGCTTCCCACCCTGGAAGAGATCTACTGGGCCCACCTTGGCATACGCTGTCCAAAGACATAAGGACGCTGGGTCACCCCACTCCTGGCCTCAGCATCCCCACCTTACCTAAGGCTTTGCTCAGGCCACTATGGGCAGTGGGTGTGGGTAGTGAGGCTGCCACAGAACTCTGCCCAGACCTTCAAGGTAGATTTTGCAGCTTCTCCAAACATCCTCTCTGAAACCATCAGCTTCATTGTGCCCCTGACCACCCCCACACCCGTCCCTACCGATGGAGAAACTGAGGCCCAGAAAGGATTGAAGATCTAGCCAGAGTGCTGAGTGGTGTCACAGATCTCTACGCCTTCTACCGACGCCCTGGAATCCAAGTGGGCATTTCTACCTGCGTTAATTCTTGAGCTAGAAGAGCCCCCACCACAGTTCTTTGAGACGGGAACTACCCAGCTCCTTCCCTTTCTCCTAGCCTGTCAGTCACCCCCGGGAACCTCCGCAGCCAACCCAGACCCCGGGTCTCTGCGCCCCCGCCCCCTTCAGGCCCGACTGGAGGGGAGTAGCTGAAGACAGTCGTGTCATGCATGTAGCAAGGCGACTCTGAGGCAGCTGTGGGGCAGAAGGGGTCAACTCGGCGAGAATGCCCCATCCTCCCTATACATTCTGCCCACCGGGGGCACCCAGATCACCCATAGATGGAGCTGTGAAGACCCGCGCTCCGGGTGGGGGTCCCGGCGGCGGAGAGGGAGGAACCGGAGTTAAGGGTCCTCGCACCAGGTGTTGCCCTTCTGGAGGGGAGCCTGGGAAGAGGGGTGCCTCGCCACCGAGAAATGGACACCTGGGGGCTCTGCTCGTCCCGCCAGGTCCCCACCCCGGAGGCTCACTCACCTTGGACTTCTCCTGCCCCCGGCTCGGCGGGACGAAGCCAGCCAGGAGCAGGGAGAGAAGACAGGACGCCCGCAACAGGCGGGCCATGGCGGGCTGGGGGCGCGTCTCGGGCTCGCCTGAGACGCGGTCTGATCCCGGGCCACCGCCGTCTGAGGTGTCCGACGCTCCCAGCCACCTTTCAAGCCCTCAGCGATGACCAATCCGCGGCCGGGCCGGAGTCCCTGTAGCCAATCGCAGGGCGACTGGCACTTCGGGGGCGGGCACTCCTTCTCCTCCCCAGGCTCCGGGCGACAGTGACATAAGCAAGTCTGGGCAGAGATGGGAGCTGGTCCTGGTGAACCCATGGGGCGGCCCCCTCTTCTTTCGGCTCTAAAGTGCAGGAGGAGGCAGGCACAATATCCTCCAGCACAGCCAGGGGAAAGGGCTTTAAATAGCACCGAGGAACTAATGCAAGGCTCAATCCTAGGAAGCATTTCTTAGCCCTAGGTTTTAAAACACTCGTGGTGTGCCCTCTCTCCTCTTTCCTCCATTCCAGTTGAAGGGATGTTGAGGATTCAAAATGTCTGCAAGATCTGACGTGAGCCTTCAGGAACATTTGCTCCGTGCAGGTTCGGTGCTTAAGAAGCAAACGGTGGGTGCCCACGGATTTTGCGTGAGGTACACTGGGGTACCTCAACTGATGTGGGAGCAGAAAAGTACGTTTGCTCACTGTGTAGTCTTGAATGCGTTGCTTTCCCCCTCTGGGTCTTGGTTTACCCAACTGTGTAATGATGGGACTAGTTGTTGACCTCCTGAAGACCTTCTGGTTCTAAAATAAGTGACAGACCTAGAACAGAAGTTCCCGGAGAGCAGAGACCAAAACCAACACCTGGAACAGGGCCCAGAACACAGGTGCTTAATATTTGTTGCATTAATCAATCAAATAATTCATTTCTCTGCTTGGGGAGAACTGCTGATGAAGTCAGGCAGCTCTAGGTCTGGGCTGTCTTGTATGATCCTGCTCGTAGATAGGGGAATACGTTGGGATCAGTGCATTCTCAAATCTGCCCAACTACCAGAGTCACCTGGGAAGCTTATAACACATTCCCAGGCCCCACTGGAATCACTGTATTAGAATCTCCAGGGGCAGAGGCCAAGAATCTGCCTTCAGACATGTTCCAAACATGATTCTGAGGCAGATGATTCTCTGTCTTCTAGTGGAGAAGTGCCTTGAGATAGCATGCCTTTACTATAATGGAAGATACTGTCTGCATGGGAATCTGGAAGTTCTGTCTCAAGTCCCATATTCTCTGTAAAGCCTTTCTTACTTCAGATCACAGCCTGTTGGAGGAAAGGGATTGAAGGCCAGGAAGTCTTTCAATGAGTTAAAGCGCAGGGGCATTTGAACAATGACTGACACAGAGTCATTAAATGTTAGTGCTCAATAAATGTTATTCAGCTGCCTCCTTTCACTGAAGCCTAGAGATGGAGAACAATTTGTCCAAGTTCCCATAGTAAATCGGTGGCAGAGAGGGAACCAGAATCAAGATCTCTACACTCCAGTCTCAGGCACTCTCCACTTTGTTCTGTTGTCTTTTGAAGGTCATATTTACCCAAAGATACAAAAATGTCTGGATACCTAGCAGTTTGTCAGAAACCCATTGTTCATTATCATTGGTAGGCATCTAATGACCCTGAAAATATGTGCCTAGCATCATGTTAACACCACGAGAGATGTCAGAGAGTTTTCTGGAAGTTACAGTCTCAGCCCTCCAGGTGTGTCCAACAGAGCCAGGACGAGGATGAGGTAAGTGGGCACCTAGGGTCTTGCAAACGCACAGCTGGCACCTGAGAGTGAGTGTCTCCTTAAATTTTGTACTCTGTGTGCCTGACTTGCCTCATCCTAGTCCCAGACCTGGTGTTCACTTTCTTCGGGGGAAAGAAGAAGAAGCCAGAGGCCTGAGGCTTATTGTGGGGCCACACACAGATTACTTTCCTTCTCTGGGCCTCAGAGTCTTTGACAGTGTCTCATATGGATGGTCTTTGTGGCTCTACAGTTCTAAGGGTCTGAGGAAGGCCTGTGCTGCACCAAACTCAGGAGTACTAGCTTCACGGACAGTGGGCTGGGGGTCAGGCGAGCACGGCCTGGCACTGAGGATAGCCTGCGCACTGCTTTCAAAAGAGGGCTGAGACTTCCCACCAAGAAGACGAAGACAAACATGAAAAGAGTACGCCCCCGCCTTCTCACCGCCCACATTTTTAGCTCATTTGGTTGATTTGTTCCCAGAACCCTATGTTTTGAAAGATGTTATTCTCCACTGGGCTGTTTCCTCTTGCTCTCAGGTTGAAGTCCAAATTCCTTAGCGCTTCAGACAATGTCCTCAAAATCCAGCCGCACTCCTCTCATTCTACCCTGGCTGTGCTGGACCTTTTTTCAGTTCTTCCAATGTGCCATTCTCTCTTGCCTCCAGGTTTTGTCTAGGCTGTCCCCCCTGCCTGGAGCACTCCACATTCTCTCCTTAACTGGTTCTCTCCTACCATTTTTCAGGTTTCCACTTTTATTCAGGTCCCCTTGCTTTAGTATTGTTCCTAGAGCATCTGATACTTTCTATCAGATGCTGTCCTTTATCAGATGTTGTCCTTTATCATCATTTCTTGTTTACTTTCTACAGTAAGTCACAAGGTCCACAAGAGCTTCATTCCCACAACTTTGCACAGGGCTTCCTACATGGTAGATGCTCAGTAAATATTAAATAAATGAATGTTAAATAAAATGCTACTTAGCATATAGAATAAGTGGAACTTCAGGTCAACACGTGCTAACAGTCTGAGCAGACAAAACTGGTCTGATTCTAGCTGCTAGTAAGATTCGAGACATGTGAGTTACTGAGTTATCACAGGAGAGTAAATGATTTGCATTGAGTTTCAGGAGAGGAAGGGTGGAAACAGATGCCGTAGAGGAATCCTAAGCCAGTTGTGTTTCCAGCCTGAGAATGTGCTCTCCAGAGTCCCAGACAAATGGGCACCCAGTGCCTCTTCTCCATCCTTTTTGGAGACATAAATAGGGAGCTTACTATTTGGTGGGTAGACAGGGACCACAGATGACTTAAAGGAGGTTTTTAAAAAGTACTGATGCTCTCTGTCTCTGAGGAAGACAGAACATGAGTTTATAAACAAGAGGGGCTATAAAAAGCCAAAACAATGGAAGCCAGCCCTATCACTGCTGAGTAAGCACTGGACTTGGTGATGGGGTCAGCCAGCCCAACTGATGGGTCCAGATGGGGGCAGCAGAAGGGAGGCCCAGCTCCCATCACCTCAGTGCCAATTTCAAACGGTAGCCCTCTTTTGCAATCCAGAAGGGATTGCAGAACCCAGGTGTGGCCCTGTTGCTGCCGGTTGCCTAAATAACTAGCTGATCCAATCTCAGAGTCAGCCTAGAGACAGGGAGTTCTTCAAGAGACGTTGCTAGAGCCCCTACTTTTGAAACGTGGGCCTTTCAAACTCTGGGCATTGGTTTCCTCATCTATGGAGTAAGAAGTTGGACGAGTTGATCTTATTGTTGGACAGTAAGAGTAACAGCCAGCCCCCAGCATCCTGTATGTACCAGATATTGCCTTAGATGTGTTAGCTTTCTGAAAAATCCCTGCAGCCTCATGAAGTAGGTAACATCATTATGGCCATTTTGCAGATGAAGAAACTAATACGTAGAGAGGTTAAGTAGCTTTGCTTAAGGTCATGCAGTTTGATAGGTGGTAGAACCAGGATTCTGACCCAGGTATTTTGTCTCCAGAGCTCTTGCCTTTAATCTCTAAGGCTGTGTTGTCCAACATGGCAGCCACCAGCCAGGTGTGGCTAGTGAGTGCCTGGAAGGTGGCTAGTCCAAATTGAGATGTGCTACGCGTATAAAATACACACTGGTTTTAGAAGACTTAGTATGAAAAAGAGAATGTAAAATACCCTAATAAATGTTTGTATCGTTACATGTTAAAATATTAATATTTTATAGATTAGGTTAAAGAAAATGTATTCTTGACATTTATTTCACTTGTTTCTTTTTACATTTTAAAATATGACTGATAGAAAATTTAAAATTATGTAAAATTACATATTAGAGATGTTATATTTCTATTGGACAGTCCTGGTTTAGGCTATATAATCATGAGATTGGTAAAGGATTATGGTTGTCTGTGAAATCCAGGCTTATCTCCTGGGGCGCCTGGGTGGCTCAGTTGGTTAAACATTTGACTTCAGCTCAGGTCATGATCTCATGGTCCTTGAGGACAAGTCCCGCATCTGGGTGAGCTCGAGCCCAGCTTCGGGTGAGCCCCACTTCTCTCTCTCTCCCTCTCTTTCTCTGCCCCTCGCTCACTTGTGCCCTCTCTCTCTCTCTCTCTCT